TTTGACTAAGTGCCAACGATGGGGCATAGAGTACTAGAGCCATATATATGAACTATGCACATCATAATATGAAATGTGTTTGCACAATCGAATCTTACCGTACCATGTATATTGAGAAGATGATAGAAGCACAAGTACGTACCGATTGACCGAAACGTTTCTCTAAATACTAATAGACACGTCATTTTTCAACTCTATGTCACATCTAGAAGTATCATACCTCATAAATACTTGTAAAATTCAATTCACGAAATTTAGGCATGAAAATCAAGGCCGTCGCCATCGATGCAATGCTCCATGCAGCAGCTGCAAATGGAAAAAGGTAGCGGTGATGATGGAGAACATGATTACCATTTCATTTTTCTCACCTTGATACCAAAACATTGTTCCAGACATGTACACTTCGCTTGGAGTACCCAGTAGAGTAATGGCTGAAAGAAAGGAGACAATGATACTGAGCGCCGTAGGAAATACACTCATTCCACCATCAGCTGAAAAGAAAAAGAATGATGATTATCTTATAATTAGTCGTTCTATGTACCTAAAAAAAATTCTCTTGCTGAAGTCTTCTTAGACTTGATGAAGCCAAAGATACCACCAATGACGACCGATGACAGCAGTAATATCACCAAGAGAACATAATCAATGGCGCTTAGCGTTGGCAATTTCATTCTATCACAAGACAACAATGATTCAATTAAAATACAAAATAATCTTCCTTCATTAGAGATAAACTTAATGTGATAATCTTATACAACATTTCAAGTGCGCACATATAATCATATGATATGTGTTTGCCTTTTTTATGTGTTTACTAATCTGAGAATAGGTTGTGTGTATGGGATGTAGAGATTCTCTAAACTCACACCTATATCCTATCCTTACAGAAAGACATTAGACAACTTCAACGACTCTTCTCCTTACTCAGGCAAACAAAAACAAAATGAAAAATTGCTTGAAAACGCTAAAAACATTTCGACCATTTTGAAATGTTAATGACAGTTTTTTTACTTACCAACCAAACGCATTCAGAAAAAATGCAACGTGAAAACGATCATTTTTACACAATCTAACACTTTTAACAGCTAATGCGTTATATATTTGTTGTAAGCATTCGTGAGTGACAATTGGGAATCTCGATTAGCATTGTGGGATGTTCACATTTTTCGCGCATTTTCATGCCCCATTATTGTTTTACACTTTTTCCCATTTTTTTTCTTTATGATTTTTTTAATTGTCTAAGCCATTCATACGATATCAATAGTTGATGTACAGATAAACAGATCTATCTCCTTACCCGCTAACTATCTGTCGGCTATCTTAATTATGTATGTATCTATCTAGCTAACTATTCATCTACTTAACATAACAACCTATTTACCTACTGAATCAGACAATATATCGATCGGTTTTCTGCCGGTTTTTGTCTGATTAGAATCGCATGAGAATGTACGAAAATTGAAAATGAATTACGTTTATCACATAACAAGATAAGAGAAAAAAGAATCAAGTTTTACGGTGTTTTTTTTATGGACTTTTTATTCTAGCTAACAAACAGTTGCACTCCAGTGTAAGAAACCGAAAAAGTTGTTTTTTCATCTCCTCTTTTTCTTCTTGCTTTTACAGTCGATGATTATGACCATGAGTGTAAGAGAAAACTGAATAAAGCACGCAGATTATTTTATATGGACAAGAAAAATTCAATAAACCTGAATCTGAAAAAAAAAATAAATTTGAGAAAGATTTGATATTGTATATTCTGTCGTTATTATCAAAAACTAAATAGGCAAATATAAAATGTGAAACACGGTGCCTCGTCACTTTAAGTACGCCCTTTACTAATCGATTGTTTGCCACACTATACACTATTGTGAGGACAAATCATGTGGCCAAAGTAAAGAAGTATCTGACATGTCAACTGATTGCTTAACAACAACCATCATACTCTATGTATGTTCTTCATCCATAATGTTTAAAGGATATCAAACTTTTATTTTATCTACTTGTACGCGTGTTTTTGAAAAAGTTTCACCGATTTAGAAACTAGATAAAGACTCGAAATTTCAATTTCCTAACACGTATAAAAGCAGTTCTCTTTCAGAGCATTAATATGACTGTTAATNTAGTTCTTTCATATACTATTCCTCGTGGTTAATGTATAGATCATAATACGTTGTTTTATACGTCAACTTGTAGAGAAGTGTTTCCTCTACAATCCTGCAATATCAAAAGAAGTCTTTCTTCCAATCGATTCGATAGAGTTGCTTTTACATCACATAAGACTTTATATCTATAAAATTACTTCGAAGTGTAGAGGAATTAAGTTGAAGTATGCAAAGTGGTCTTCAATACAACGGTTATCTATTGACACAAAAGATAACATATCGTTTTGTACAAAATCTCACAGGATACCTTTTGAAAAAAGGTATAGTTTTGAGAATGAAACTCGACTGAAATATGAGCAAACTACTAAGTAACCAATTCATTATGGACCACTCAATATATTTCAATGGAAAGAATAAAGAAAAAGTATACTTGACAGTCAATACTTAGTTTATCTTGAGAACATTCAACAGTGAAGCAAAATATTCATCTATTAAAGCTAATAGAAAGAAAAAAATTCAAACACCTTTTGTATTTCATCGCGCCCATTGTTCGATTTGCAAAATGCTGAGATAAGGAAAGCATGAATGCTACGAAGTAGTCATAAGTAACGTCTCATAGTTTTATGAACTACTGTTGATGATAAGGGTTGAAGTTCTTTAGCAGATAAAAAAGAGATTGCTGGAATTTTACTCTTTATTCTCTCTGACAAATAAGCCATCCATGAAAAAAAAATTGTACAAAACAGCATTTCAATACCAACTTTTTGAAAAGATAATGCTATTTTTGCGTTCAAACTCATCGGATTCTTACAAACGCATTAGACCGCAGTATTTATTATGCAGTGTTTTTTGGGAAGAATGTGTTATTTCACAAACAAGGTAGATGAATAATTGGATTCGTTTTTTTTACGAAAACACGCCTTATCGCTTAAACGGGAGTGCTCTCGAGATAAGTTTAATAACTATAGCATAATAGAATATACTTGAATGCGAGAGAATAAGGAAATAGTTGTATAACATACATGACTGGGAAAAATGAATAAAAGAAGTTTATCTTGATCAAAAACTCTCTTGAGCAAGTCGAAAAAATTATAGATAGTATGATAGTGACGTCAGAGCCATGCTAAATTTTTCTCATAGAACAATTAGTCATACAGTGCCTTTTCAAATTCTTAACGGAATTTTTAGTGTTTCATAAATAGAGCATTATCCTTTTTATATTTTTAATTCTTTGAACGAGATTATATTTGAGGAGAAACAATTTGTACATGTTTATTTATTGCCACCACAATACATTACTCATATATTAGCCCTACTTCTATTTTCTATTACTGATTTCTTGCATAGGCAGCCGAGTAACGTTCGTTGCTGTGTTCTCAATAAGAGCTTGAATATATTTTTAGTCCATTAATTCGATGAATAAAGCACTATAACAGGGTGATGTGGGTGTGGCTGTTCGTCTTCTTGTAAACCATCGTAGTACACTCAGACCCCGTTAGACTGATCTACTAGATTCATGTACTCAGCAAGAATCTATTTTCAAACCTTCTTTCAAATAATAAGATACTTGAGTACATCGTATTGGTCTGTTGACGCAGCGACCTCGTGAAACTTTCAGAGTAGTCGCGCAATATATCGACGACCCGATTATTATGGATATATTTTTCGTAGGTGTTGTTAGATGCTGTTATCTATCAGTTTACTCTCTCACGGCCCAACTGTTGAATAGCACACATAGAAGATGAAAGCAAGAGTAACTGAGAGAACAATGGAGAATAAGCAAGATAGTGTAAAGTAAGCAGACATCGGGACAGAGTAGCGATGTATTAAATGAAATGCCATCAGCCAGGCATCTACCTTGTAACACTATGTTTACTATTGTTTTATCAAACGTTATCAAATAAGAATAAAAACCATTATCTTGGCGAAAAAGAACACCCTTGAATGTGACCGTTATAAATGATAGGGACGATAGGCATTTAGACGCTAAATAAAAAGAGAACAGCATTATATTAAGTTACGGTATGTTTGTTTGCAAAAAATGTGTGCTGTTATTTCCGATTTCAAATAGTTCTTTTCAAACAAAGGATCGCACTCACTGATAGAAACGATTTTTTTGTACAAAAAATACGTGGCGGTTGTTCAAATTTAATCTTTCGACCCACTGTTCTCTATAGTCAAATAAATTCTTATCCTCTTGCAGCTTTATATACTTTACACTGAATCCCAATTCAACTCATGCTTTTCACTAAATGTTCTATATCCAATGAATTAATCATCTAAAGTAACATGATTTATTTGCCAGTAGATGAAGAAAGAGCAGGAAAAAACACTGCACTATTCAGTCTTCAACTAAGGATGAAAGATTCGTGAACCGTATTAAGTGTTGGCTATTGTAACCGAGACAATATTTCAAGATCTTACAGGCCTAAATGAAAGTCTCTACCGAATGTGTATCAGATTTTCGTTCAGTTCAGTTCAGAATTTTTCAGTATCTATCTTTTAGAATGACTCCAGTTTGTCTGAAACTCTATTGAACTAGAATTTGATTACAAAAGTTTCTTCGCCAACGAAGATAAATGCTGAAAATCGAATACTTGAAGCAATCTTTCCAGAAAGATTGAGCGGTTTTACGTCAGATTATTTCGTCATATCTTTGGAAGGAAAAGAAAAGTCCCTAACAAGATATCTGACAGATGTAAAAGAATAGCTAGAACGGAAGTTCAAGATTCTCATTATGGAACTGGCTTTGACTTCTATGGATTTCTTTTCGAAGCTGCTAAGCATTTTTCCGCAGTTATGTTTTAGGTGAGCTAAAAGATAGCTTTGCTAGATACGTGTAGAGTAATTGTGATCATAAGATCCGTAAGTTGGTTTTGTAGTTCAGATTTTAGAATGGCTCACATAACGGAGAACATTGTTACTTATGACTACGTTGTCATTGGTGGGGGTACAAGTGGTGCGGTTGCAGCTCGACGCTTGGCAGAAGGAGATACAAACTCTAATGTGTGTCTTATCGAGGCTGGTCCGAGGTTTGTTCACGTGTACCTTAGTTTTCTAATCTTCAACGAATAATCTTTTCGGCAGTCACGAAGAAATTGTTGATGGTCGTATGCCTGGTAGTTGGGCTTTACACCCAGAAAGATCGCACGACTGGAACTATGATACTGTTCCTCAGAAAGGTTGCAATAATCGTATTATATATGCTCTGCGTGCTCGTTTTCTCGGTGGATGTAGTGCAATCAATGGTACATTGCTTATTCGTGGTGCTAAAGCGGATTATGATCGCATTGCAGCCATGGGAAATCCAGGATGGAGTTGGGAAGAAATGCTGCCATATTTCAAGGCATCTGAGACGTTTCATCCAGCTGAATGGCACCAAGCAGACTTTGCTGTTCATGGTACTAGTGGACCACTGCATACTGAGCCATATCCTCTTGCACCTATCTCTGAAAAAGTTCTGGAATCCTTCATTGACAGCGGCTTTGAGTACAAGCCAGATATGTTTGCGCAGGGTGACTATGAAGGTTTGTTATGTTCATTTCTTGCTTCGAAACTCATCTGAGCACTGTTTAGGTGTTGGACATGTTGTACGTACAGTTTACAAGGGTATTCGAAGTACGAGTGCGGACTTTGTTCATCATTACGATACAAAAAACCTTACAGTCCAAACAGGTGTCTATGTTGATCGGATCATTCTGGAAGAAAATAATATAAATAACAAAGAAAATCGTGACTACAAGGCAGTTGGTGTGGAAGCACACTACGATGCAAATGGTCAACCGATAATCATCAAAGCAAGAAAGGAAATTATTCTAAGTGCTGGGTATGCTGTAGGGTCATACGACTCAACTGGAGGTCAAGTTCGTAGACTACTAAGAAAACTTAGCGTTTTGAGATCATCAATCTGTTGTGAGAAAGTATCCAGCACTAGAATGAGTCAGTTTCAAGGGTTCTTTCAGTAAAAGCTATGAGCCATGACGCTCTCAGTCTTCTAACGCTTTCATTAAAAAAAAGCTAATAATCTTCACAAACTACTAGGCAGCTGAATTCGGTTCGTGTTGCGAGATCACTTTTATTTAGTGCCTACAATTCTCCGACGATCTTAATGCATTCTGGTATTGGTCCAGCAGAACACCTAGTTGAAATGGGCATCAGTTGTAAGATCGACTTGCAAGGTGTAGGAAGAAATCTTCAAGATCATACGATTGTATGGAGTTTTTTAGCTTAACTATGGAATGTTTCATGCTCTCATTCAGGTCTATACATCTTATCAAGTAAGTGATCCAAGTCTCACGCTCGACCAATTCGTCTACTATCACCCAGACGCCCTTGCATTATCAGTCAAAAAATGGCATGAAACGAAAACAGGATTCCTGGCAGGATTTCCATTTGGCCCCTTTGCTCTGAAAAGAATCGATAAGACTATTCAAGATCCCATTTGGGAAGCTGCAAAAGCCGAAAAGCAAAAGAATCAACTGTCAGAGTATGATCCGACTGGGCAATGGCCAAATCAACCGCATATCGAGCTCTGGACTACAGAACTGCATTTTTGTGCTCTTAACTCCTTACAATCAGGTTAGTCGATCACAATATAAAAGAAACCGTTTAAAACAATTGTATCTTGAACTAATATCTAGAAACCTTTTATTCAAGATTTAGTAGATAGAAAGATTGAGCTCTAAGTTTTGAGCATGTATGCAAGTTTCTGAATGTTATAAAAGAAAGAAATAGGAGTAACATTAGGAGATTTTAATAAAAATAGACCTGCTCACAAATTACCCAAGTAAACATCGACGAATGTGAAAATTCGAATGTAAATATATGTATGTTTACCGTCTTCACTGTGAGACAAATCATAATATAGTGAGAGCTAGAAATCTGAAAGATATCTGAATCCAAGCGCCAATGTTTTATAATGATTCGTTCACATTTGGATTCTTGAAGAATTATCCATATCCACTCTCCGTTACTGTAATCCGGTGAAAAATGACTAAAAATAGTTGCATGCTTCTATTTTGAACAAATTGAAACAGAATGAATAACAAGCTGCATTATGTTGTACAATACTAAATGTTGCAGTGAAATTCATTTCGGGAAAACAGCGACGAAAAAAGTTGATTCTGGAGTTTCTCGTATTTAGCAAAATATCGCTCTTCTTGATGTTTATAACGACTCAATAGAATCTAGTGAATAAGAGTCTATCAACTTTATAGATGAGCCGCCACACAATCCCGTGGAAGGCGAAGGGGTTATTACGCTAATTACTCTTCTATGTGGGTCACAAGCAAGAGGTACTGTACGACTCTCGTCCAAGAACTCAACAAGTACACCAATCATCGATCATGCCTATCTTGAAAATGATCTCGACGTAGCTGTACTTGCTGAGGGCTGTCGAATCGGTCACGAAGTGTTAATGAAAGGTCGAGGAACGAAACATGTCGTTGTTGGTCCATGGCCAAAAACGATGTCCCATCCAAACGATCTAGATGGTTGGAAAAAGCATGTACGAGCCTTCGCCAACACCTGTTATCATCCAGGTGGTACGTGCAAAATGGCACCTGACACTGACCCTATGGGAGTGGTAGACAATCGACTTCGTGTGCGAAACGTTGAGGGTTTGCGAGTAGCAGATATATCCATTCTGCCTTTAATAAACAATGGCCATACACAGGCTCCTGCATATGCTATTGGAGAAAAGGTCGCACATATGGTTTTGCAAGACACTGCCGTTGTACGTTAGTTTTATGCGATTCATATAGGTGGGCAATAGTTAACATGTTTAAAAACTATCTTTTCCCATCAATTCGTCGTAATGAAGTGAAAAGCTTTTGCACTTATTAGAACTTATACTTAGTAGTAATTCACTTTTTTTTATTTCCGGAAATTGTTCAGTAATTTTAATAAAGAACGTACCACAAAACATGAAAGATTCTCATAAATTGACTGATTTGAATGATATCCATAATAGAAAGCATTCTGTCAATCATTTTTCTACCCGTGTGTAAACAATCATGGAACAAATATTTTCTTAAGAATTCATTTCATTTTCTATGTTTTTTGTTATTAGTAGTAGCATCCATCAACGTCGCACAATTCAATAGGCACTGCTTCATTTTTAAAGAAGCTATGATACAGATGACCAAGATCCATCTTTTTTCATCCATTTCCGAATATCTTGAAGGACATGGGTGTGGGTGTGGAGTGGATGTGAGCGTGGGGTAGGTATGGGTATGAGGGTATAAGTATGAATTTGGGTCTGCGTGTTCTCATCCTCAACATCCACACTTACACCTAGATCCAGACACATATCCAGCTACACCGTCAAACCCACACCCGCACTCACGTCCACACCCACGCTCCACACCCTCTTTATATTTTGGTGGAAAAACATCGGTTTTACTGACAAAAAACGTGACAGGACATATGATCAATATTTTGTAATTTTCTCCCTAACGACAAAGAATTAAGAGATGAAATTTGCAGTATCTCTTCTATATTCAGCGGTCTACTTATATTGAAAATTATTCTCATTGGGATATAGTAGAAATTGAGATACATAAAAAACAAAAGAAAAATGTGACGGGATATTTAGCGAGGAAGACGCTTATTGAGGGTGTGAGTGTGGATGTGTGGGGTGGGGTGTGGATGTGTGGGGTGGGGTGTGGGTGTGTGGGGTGTGGGGTGTCTGTGTGGGTGTGAGTGTAGGGTACGGGTGTGGGTGTCGGGGTGGACGTGGGTGTGAGTGTGAATGTAAGAAAGAACTACACATACACCCGCATTCATCCACACACCCACACTCACACCCACCCACACCCTCTGCGAGATATTCACGAGTTATAGACAATTCATTGATTAAAAATACCCTTTCGACGCGGGCAAGGTTTTTGAAATGAGAATACGAGCTATGCATGTTGAGATGGTTTTCAAATTGTAGGGTACCCTTAGCGCTAGGTCGTTAGGGAGCCCGATGTGTTAGGTTCCTTTGTTTGCTTTAAAAAAAAACTTTCTAGAAAACTTGTCAAAACCTTCAGAAAAGCTCGGTAATAAAAATCAAAGATTTAAATTTTTTATTTCAGCAAAAGAGAAGTTCAAAAATCGGACTCTATTACGACCTAACCCCACCTGTCTTCTATGCAATAAAAAACAATTATCACTTTTATAGTGAGTCATNACGTGTAGATGATTTTATGCACTATTGCTACCAGCTAGAGTTGCACTAAAAATGTTTTTGTCGGAATTTTATTACTATGATCTTAGTTAGATACTGATCAAATAGCATAGAAAGATAGAGCGAAAGACGCTCTATCTATTCGTAAAAAAAGAAATTTCGTTTTAGCTATTTATAAGAAAAAAAAGAACCTGGCCCACTACTTTTGGATAACCCTAAGTACAATAAAAAAGCGAATGTCTATCATTTGCCATAAGCTGTGGTGATCAGAATCAATCGTTAAAACTCAAAATTTGTGGCAACGGTAGGTTATCTTTTTGCCACAAATTCTGGTGTCCTGAACTAATCGCTGAAAAATTCTACGTTTGTGGCGAAATGAAAAGATCAGCCAATGCTGGTGACCTAATACGGCTTTAATTTAAGTATTTTTGGAAATAAGATACCTGTACAAAAAAAGTAACTAGTGAGCAGATTTAATAAAAAATTAAAGTTAGTCACTACTTCTATTTGGAAGAACTAATTCTGATGACCCGACTTGTTTAAATTAATCAAACTAGCAGCCAATTCTTTTAGGAACAACTGAATCTGGTGACCACTCTGTAAAAAAAGGTGTCATACTGAACCTTTTAGGGTTCTAGATTTGGGTACATTTTCAGAACCATTTAAGGTTCAAGCAAAATCTGATTCTACGTGGAACCTTTTCCCATCTTCTTCCAAAAATGGTTCTAGACTAATAAAACGTAGCCCACCACACTCAATTAGTATAGTACTGCCGGCTAATGCTATATCTAACTCTTAATTCTATATCTAATCCCTTATTTCTATCCTTAACCCTAAATTATATCCTTAACTCTTAATTCTATCCTTAACCCTTGTTTCTATTCTTACTCCTTGAGATAAGCCTAGGATCTCAGAATTGGCAATTCAAGAAATTCAAGCAATTCTAGCTATATACAGCCTATGAGCACTAATCGATCTGATTCATGCTAGAATTATGGAAATTCAAGGAAATTCTGAGAAATCAAGCAATTCAAGAAATTGAAGGCAATTCAAGAAATTGAAGGCAATTCAAGGAACTCAAGGGATAGACAGAAAATGATGGATAAGGGGTTCCATCCACCATGGAAATTCTGGAAAATCTAGCAATTCAAGAAACTGAGGTCAATTCAAGGAATTCAAGAGATAGACAGACAATGAGGAATAAGGGTCTAATCGACCATGGAATTATGGAAATTCAAGAAAATTCTGGAAAATCAAGCAATTCAAGAAACTCAAGGCAATTTAAGGAATTGAAGGGATAGAAAGAGGGTGTGGGTGTCAGGGTGAGCGTTGGAAGGGAATGTAACAAGAAAGATACCCACACCCACACCTACACCTGCACCCACACCTGCATCCACACCCGCACCCATACCGGCATCCACATTCGCACCCACACCTGCACCCACATCCGCACCCACACCTGCACCCACACCTGCACCCACACCTGCACCCGCACCCACATCTGCATCCACACCCACCCTCTTTGTATATCCCTTGAATTCCTTGAATTGCCTTCAGTTTCTTGAATTGCTTGATTTTCCAGAATTTCCTTGAATTTCCCGATTTCCTTGAATTCTATGGTGTTTGCAAGGTGTATGACTCAAAGTTATATGGGGCCCTAATTTTCCTGATTCTCTATGACTTTCCTTGAATTGCTTAAATTGCTTGAATTTCCTGATTTCCATGAATTCCATGGTCCTCCTTAGGTGTGTGACTTATAGTTAAATGTTGACGTGAATTTCTTGAATGTCTTTGAATTGCCAATTCTTGGGTCCTAGGTACTGCTCAAGAGTTTCTGATTTGGCCATCATTATTTGAAACCGTCAGCATGGATTATGACGCCGCAAAAGCTATGCACATTATTCATTTAGAATCTCATAACGGACAACCCTGAAATATAATTTATTTCTTTTTCAACCAGGGTGTGGGTGTGTTATAGCATTTGAACCGTTCCACGACCAATGGTACTTGTTTCTATACGGCAGAACTGTCATCAGGTGGAAATCTCAAAACAGATATATTAGATGTTCTAGATGTACCAATCGAACCTAGCATATAATTTGATACTTATCTTCGATTGAAATGGCTGCGATGCCCTTTCCTCTCTTATTCATACATACTTTTATGTATTTTCATCCAATTCTTCTCCTATATATACTTTAGAAGTGCACTCTTGGTATTTCCTTCTCCAGTACATACCTGATGTCTATTCTTCTCTAGTGCATATCTAATATTTGAGTGTGGAGGGTGTGATGTGGTGGTGTGGGTGTGGATTTGGTTGTTGATTTTTCTTCACATGTGAATGATTGCAAGACCCATCCACACCCACACCCTTGCGGTTCTCATTCCTGATGATGTGTTCAGACTAGAACACGAAAGCTCGAAGGTTATATTTTTTATTTCTGTTTGAAATAATATTTTAAAAATGATATTAACAATAGTTATTTATTTCATATTTTCTTATGAATGAAACAAGTTTATCTTGATCAAAAGAATCGTTTTTGAGAAAGTTGGGAAAAGTTATAGATAGTATCATACCGACGTCAAAACTCTGGTAAGTTTTTCCCATGGGAAGATTAGTCATATAGTTTCTTTTTAAATTCTTAACACAATTTCTAGTGACTCATAAATAGAGCATTACATTCATCATATTATCAATTCATTGAAAGAGATTATTTTCGAGGAGAAAAATTTGTACATATTAATTTATCACCATCACAATACTTCAGTCATACGTTAGCTCAGCTTCTATTTTGCATTAGTGAGTTCTTGTACAGGTGGGTGCTGATGTGGTTCTTCTCTTAAACTACACTAGAGTACGCCCAAACTCAGTTGGATTGACTTGAATTCATGTATTCGACAAGAATCTATTTTCAAAATATCTGTTCAAATGATGGAATATTTGAGCATTAACAAGTATCGACTATACCACTTTAAATCATAATATAGATCTGTTGACGCAACGATCTCATGAAAATTTCAGAGAAATTGCGCAACAATATATCGAGAACCAGGTTACTACGAATATATTTTTTGTGCGTGTTGCTGGATGCTGTTATCTATGACTTTACTCTCTCGCCGGCGAACTATCGAATTACGCACAAAGAGAATGAGAACGATTAATATAATGTGGGACACGCAGACATAGAGGCAGAATACCGATGTTTTTTTTAACGAAATGCAATCAGTCAAGTGTTTACTTCGTTATAGTATGCTTGCCATTGTTTTATCAAAGGTTGTAACACAAGAACAAAAATTACTATCTTGATGAAAAAGAACATCCTTATATGTTATTGTTATAAATGATAGGAACGACTCACATTTACACGCTAAACAGAAATAGAACGGCGTTATTTTAAGCTACGGTATGTTTGCTTGCAAAAACTTTGTGCTATCATTTCGATTTTGAATGAAATTCTTTTCAGAGAAAGGATGAGAATCAATGGGAGAAAAGGATTAGTACCAGAAATACATAATGATTGTTTACATTTAATCACTCGACTTAGTTTTGTCTATAGCCAAATAAATTTCTATCCTCTTTCAACAAAAATCAAAGCTGAAACTCAAACGCTTGAAGCAACCTTTTCAGAAAGATTGAGTGTTTGCACTCCAAATTCTTTCGTCATATCTCCAGAAAAAAAGAACAATCCCTGATAGAATCCCTAAAAGATCTATAGAATAGTTGAAACGAAAACTCAAGATTTTCACTATGGAACTGGCATTTAATTTTATGGAGTTCTTTTGGAAGCTGCTGAGCATTTTTTCGAATTTATATTTTAAGTGAGCTAAAAGATTTCTTTAATATATACGTTCACAGTAGTTGGGATCATAAGATTAATAAATTGATTTTGTAATCCATTTTTTAGAATGGCTCACACGAATGAGAACATTTTTAATTACGACTACGTAGTCATTGGTGGGGGTACAAGTGGTGCTGTTGTAGCTCGACGTTTGGCAGAAGGAGATGCAAACTCTAGTGTGTGTCTTCTCGAGGCTGGCCCGAGGTTTGTTCACGTGTATCCTAATTTTCTAATCTAGAACGAATAATCTTTTGTGACAGTTATGCAGACGTTGCCAATAGCCGTATGCCTGGCAATTGGGTTTTAAATAAGGAGAAGTCGCATGACTGGAACTATGATATTGTTGCTCAGAAAGGTTGCAATAATCGTATTATAAACGCTCCACGTGCTCGTTTCCTTGGTGGATGTAGTGCAATCAATGGTACAGTGCTTGCTCGAGGCGCCAAAGCGGATTATGATAGAATCGCAGCCATGGGAAATCCGGGTTGGAGTTGGGAAGAAATGTTGCCTATTTCAAGGCATCTGAGACATTCCATCCAGCTGAATGGCACCAGTCAGACTTGACTGTTCATGGTATCAGTGGACCACTGCTGCATACTGAGCCGTATCCTCCTGCTCCTGTCTCTGAAAAAGTTCTTGAATCATTCATTGATTGTGGCTTTGAGTACAAACCAGATATGTTTGTTCAGGGGGAATATGAAGGTTTTTAACATTCATTGTTTTCTTTGAAACTCATCTAAAAATTGTTTAGGTGTTGGATATCCTGTACGCACAGCTTCCAAGGGTATTCGAAGTATAAGTGCGGATTTTGTTCATCAATACGAGAAAGTAAACCTTATAGTTCGAACAGGTGTCTATGTAGACCGTATCATTTTGGAAAGTAACAATATAAACAACAAAGAAAAACGTGATTACAAAGCAGTCGGTGTGGAAGCACATTACGATGCAAATGGTCAACCGATAATTATCAAAGCAAAAAAAGAAATTATTCTAAGTGCTGGGTATGCTGTAGAGACATACAACTCGATTCGAGGTCAATTTCGTACATTACAAAGAAAATTGTTAGCGTTGTAAGATTAGCAATCTTTTCTGAAGAGGTATCCAGCATAAAAATGAATCAGTTTCAAGGACTCTTTCAGTAAAAGCAATGTACAGTGACGCTCTCAGTCTTTTGACTCCTTCATAAAAAGCTAGTAATATTTACGAACTATTAGACAATCAAATCCGGTTCGTGTTGTAAGACCACATTTATTTAGTACTTATAATTCTCCGATGATTTTAATGCATTCCGGTATTGGTCCAGCAGAACATCTGGTCGAAATGGGCATCAATTGTAAGGTCGATTTGCAAGGTGTAGGAAGCAATCTTCAAGATCATGTGATGGTATAAAATTTCTCAGTTTAACTATGCAATACTTCAAATTATCATTAAGGTCTATACATCTTATCAAGTAAATGATGCAAATCTCACGCTTGACCGATTCATCTATTATCACCCAGATACTCTTGCATTATCAATCAAAGAATGGCAGGAAACGAAAACAGGATTCCTGGCGGGACTTCCATTTGGCCCCTTTGCTCTGAAGCGTATTGACAAGAGTATTCAAGATCCTGTGTGGGAAGCTGCAAAGTTCGAGAAGCAAAAGGTACAGCCATTAGAGTACGATCCGACTGGACAATGGTCAAATCAACCTCACATCGAGTTGTGGACTACAGAACTGTACTTTTATATTCCTAGCTTCCCACCACCAGGTCAGTGAAACACAATATAAAACAAACTTTTAAAACAATAGTATTCTGAGCAGAGATGGACAAGTCATTTTTTCAAGTAGTTTCAAAAAAATCTGTGCACCTTTTCTCATCTAAAGAGTATGCCTCTAATTTTTATGTGGCTAAATTCAGAAATCTTCAGGCTACCAAATGACACATTATGGTTAAAGTTGTTTTTACATCAAAAGCGCCGTAATATCTTTAAAACATCTTGACTTGATGAAAATGACTTGGCTTAATCAGGTCAAGTCAAGTCATGGTGTTTTAAAAGTATTACAACTCTTCTCATGAAGAAAAACTTTAACCATAACATTTCATTTTGTAGCCTAAGCGTTTCTGGACGTAGTCACTTTGAAATTAGGCGTACGCTCTTTATATGAGAAGAGATATAAGAATTTTTCGAAATGACTTGAAAAAATGACTTGCTCATCTCTGATTCTGAGGCAATCTACAGAAAAGTCTTGTTCGATTTTGAGTAGATAGAAAAATCGATGTCTGATTTTTGAGTACGTATGCAGAATTTCTGAATGTTATAAAAGATGGACTAACAATAACATTAAAAGTTTTCGAGCAAAAAAGATCCCTCATAAAACAACCAAGTAAAGCCTTAATAATATGACAAGTCAAATGGTCATGTACGTTTTTTTCTAGTCTCTCCACTGTTTGACAAATCATAACAAAGTGATAACTAGAAATCCGAAAGATATACGGACTAAAGTGTTAAGATTTAATGTCTACTGTAAACTACACGAATCTTGTATGTTTCACAATATTTTGGTATATAGTTTAGATCTCTCGAAATGTTACAATTCAATAAAACTACGTATATAAGAGTTTATCGACTTTTATAGATGAGGTGCCACAAAATCCCGTGGAAGGTGAAGGAGGCATCGATTTATATGTTCTTCTATGTGGGCCACAAGCAAGAGGTACTGTACGACTCTCGTCCAATGATTCAACATGCAAACCAATCATCGATCATGCCTATCTTGAAAATGATGTCGACGTAGCTGTACTCGCTGAAGGTTGTCGAATAGGACACGAAGTGTTAATGAAAGGTCGAGGAACGAAAAATATCATTGCTGATCCATGGCCAAAAACAATATCCCATTCAATGGATCTGGCTGCTTGGAAAAACCATGTACGAACCGTTGCTACCACCTGTTTTCATCCATGTGGTACGTGTAAAATGGCACCTAACACTGATCCTATGGGAGTAGTCGATAATCGACTTCGTGTGCGAAACGTTGAGGGTTTACGAGTGGCAGATGTATCCATTCTGCCTTTGATAAACAATGGACATACACAGGCTCCTGCATATGCAATTGCCGAAAAGGTTGCACATATGGTTTTGCAAGACACTACTGTTACATGTTAGTTTCATACGATTCATACAGGTGGACAACTATAAATATTTAAAAACCATTCTTAGTCTATCAATTCGTCGTAACGAAGTGACCAGTTTTTTTTTCAACGAAATCTCTCCGTTCAATATTTTTACAAAATTCTATGCACATATTATGAAAACATATACAGTACAAAAAGTACTGCGATAAAATATCATAGATCCATTCATTGACACCCTTCAGCGATGAAATTGATGATTGAACTTTTGTCACTAAAGTTAAGTGTTTCCTTTCACTTTTGAGTATACAACTAATAGAACTTGTCGTATGTAAGATTCGCTCATCATTTTCAGAGTGATTATCAAATCAATGGAAGTGGGATTGGTTGCAAAAAGGATGTTGCATACGAGCAAGAAACAACAGACTTCAACACTTCATGAGACTTCAAGACTAAAGTCTCTGCTATTTCTTTCTTGGTTCTACACTTGAACTAATCGAACAAGTGCTTCGACATCAGCATTATGGGCATGAGGATTCAAAGAATTAATGAGAAAGATAAGAATGTCAAGCTCACCCATGACAATCCTTGCTTTCAACTATTGATCGTCCACCAAGCGACGATTTTGAAACTATTTTACTTGTATATTCAACTCTTTCTGGACCAATCAAGGGGAAACAAACTGATTTCTGTGCCTAGAAATCACTAGAAATCACTTTAAGACCTTAAGAATAGAAATACTGAGCAGAAGTGGTTAAAAAATATTACAAACCATCAAGAGCTATTAGAAAACGCGAGAAATCACCAGAAATCAATTTTAATCATAGAAATCTTCTACTAGTAAAGTTAAAAATATAGCCCTGATTTCTAGTGATTTCCGGTGATTTCTTTGATTTTTTAAATTCTAAATGTTTGTCAATATTTCACGTGGTTGCTCTTGACTTTTGATGATTTCTAGTGATTTCCCTTCATTTTTAAGTATTTTCTATAATTCCTATCGATTCACGATAAATATAGAAAAACTGAGTTCTAGTCATAGAAATCACTAGGTATCATCAGAAATCACTGGAAATCATTAGAAATCACGGAAGTCAAGAAATCAGTTTGTTCTCCCTTGTGACCAACGCCTCTCTACTATCCATGTTATAGAGATTGTGTTGAAAGTCGACGTTGTAGGTGTGGGTGTGAGTGAAGTGGAGGTCAACACACAATATTTTGATCAATTTCTTTGTCAGCGATAAATTCTCCTATACATTTGACAAAAAAACATTTCAAAGAGCTGCGAAAGAAAAAAACATGTGTTATTCATCATTATTGTTTATGAGAAAGGAAGGATGAAGCCTTGACTATGTCAATATGATTCTCCTAATATATATATAATTGCATCATGACGTTTTTTCTACACATATAAAAGAAAACATCTTTTGCTTTCAAATCAATACAGAATTTTCTTTTCAAAAAATGCTCTCAATTCACAAATACGAATTATTAAAAATTGAGGATACATGGAAAAATCATCTCAAATATGTTATCTTGTTATCGGATAAAACTGAAATAGAAAAACATTTAAAGCAATTATAATCTTATGATGATTTACAAATATTAGTATTTTTATCCAAATCAACAAAAAGTGAAAAGAATTTACTAGAAATATTCAAAACAGATTCATTACCAATAAAACAACGAACTATTGCTGCGAAAGATTGACTTAAAATTCAAAGAGATGATAAACAAATTTATGAATTTATTGTTGAAACAATGAATGATAAAAATGTTGCTCGATTGTAAGTTTATCATTAATAATAATTAAATTAAAAAATTCTTTTCAATTTTTTTTTCTAGGTTTAAAAATCAAATATTAGAAAATCTACATCAAATTGATTATTTAAAAAAATCTTCATCATTTTTTTATAATCTTGTATGTCGTTTAACTGAATCATATCGTCATGATCAATATAATTTTGATGCTCATTTAGGGCCATTTTGTTCAAAAGATCAAATATTAAATCTTTTATCACATTGGTCAATTGAATATATAGAACAAATTGATTCATCATCTTTATTTCGTTCAAAATTAATTTACTATCAACCTTTTATTACTATCCATTTAATTCAATGTGATTTAAATGAAAAGAAAAAAAATAATGGAACATTTTCAAATTATTTTCAAAGAAAACGACGTACTATTATCATTACTTGCAAAAAAAAGAAGCTAAAGCAATATTTCGTTTAACAATTGAATATATTAATCAATTAGAAAAACACAAAAGATTTTTAGCATATTTTATTCAATCAGAACAAAAAGATTTTTTTAAGAAAGTACCAGATAAAATGATTGAATTAATTAAAATTGTAGCATCAGATCAGCCCGGTTTTATTTTAATTATTTGGTTATTTTTCTTATAATTATCTAGCTTTTAACAAAAGCAAACTCTTTACAATTTTGGCAAATTATTATACCTACTTACGAGAGAAAGTTCTCAACTGATCCACACTGTTTTCAATAATATTGTGTCTATGTGTTGGGGGAGGGAAGAGTATTCTAAGAAAAATCTTAAGATGGTTTCGACTAATGCAGCCTCCGCCGATGATTATGACCATTTTACTGATTATTCCACCTATCACAAGATATATAGAGAATATCATTGACAATGGCATGGATCAGTTGAGGACCATCCCCTCGTAAGTAGGAAAAGTAATTTGCCAAATTTGTAAAGAATCTGCTTTAATTAAAAGCAAGAACGATGAATTTTTAAGTCGTTCCACAACTTCGGGAACATCTCATTATATACATGTACGTATCTTTAGGCACAATTAAATATCAAACATTTTGGGATATTGATGGATCCGATCTGGATGCATTTATATTTCCTCGTTCATTTTCTCTTGATTATTATAGTCATCTATCTTTTGCTTTATATGATAGTAGTCGAAAACAACGAAAATGGTTATTTGATATTGTTATTAATGAACGTATTAGAAAAGAATTATTTATAGAGAAATTATTGAAAGAGGGAAATGAAACAACTCTTAATTGTTCGAAGAATATGGGGAAATAACTACACCATTTTCTCTTCATTTAATATTTCAATATAAAACAAATAAAGCTATTTCTGTAAAACAACGTTTATCATTAATTCGTTATCAATTAATGACACAAGATAGTTTTGATCAATTTTTAATTTTATTTAACCAAACTAGCTCAAATGTACATCAACGTGAACAAAATTATATTCTTTTTCTTCAATGTGCTTTTTCAATAAATGACGAACAAGTTAGAAATATTCTTCAATGGATTCAAAAACGATTTACTAATGAACGATTTACTGATGAACGACTTACTATTATTGAAACATTTCTACGTACTTTATCTGAATATAATAATCGAGTTCAAATTAAAATTTTATCAATTCATTTCGAAACAATCGAAGCCATTATTGAACTTGCTCTCAATCATCTTGATCAATCTCAAAATACACTACAAATTATTGTTAATTATGGATTATTTTTACTTCACCGTGTTGAATATCATCCAAATACAGAACAAGTGGAGCAAATTGAAATACTCGCTTGTAAAATCATCAAAAGGTAAGAAAATCTATCTGGGATGAATATAGAAAATGGTTTTCGTCTCACTATGTTCAATACAAGAAAGACAGTTCATCGGATATTAACAATTTTCATGAATTTAAATTTTCAAAGTCATGCTTGGCTTTCAAAACCATCAAAGAGAGTTTGTTTATTTCATCATCCGACAATGCGGTGTTTTTTTTAATTTTCGTCATGATTTTTCTGTGAGAAAATTTCAAGTGATAAATTGCGGAATTCAAGTAAATCTTCGATTCTGAATCCTATAGAATTTCAGCATCCTGCCATTTACTCATTGGCAAAATTTCATGAATATGATGTAATTCTAAATTATGTTTTAGATTTAGTAATTTTCTACCATCTCTGAAAAAATTAGTTTCTACATATATTTTATAAAGCATATATGGGTGCGTGGGTGTGAAGGGAATATCCACACCGGCACCCTCAAGAAGAAGCTAAGCAGTCCAACTGCCTTAGATAATTCTCCTTCGGCCCACATGGTAACTTCTATGTCGCCGACATGAATAATCATCGTGTTTAACGATTTTCAATCGAATAGACTCAAAACGACGATTAGTATTTTTCATTTCCTTCAAATAAATCACTTTGATTGCTTACAGGAATGGCTATTCTATTCGCATGCACGTGCGGGACAAATCAAATTATTTACATCCATATTTATTCAAGGGTCTGATGAAAAGTCGGGTCGTGTTCCGCGGATACCAAGATAGTTCCTGACCGAGGTTTCGAGACTACTCGGTTGGGTCCTGTGGGCAAGACTTGTTCCGATATTTTCCCGTCCCGTTTCCCGCGGGAATAAGCAACGGGGATTCCCGAGAGACTTTAGAAGCGGGAACACGGGAACGGGAATTCCCATGGAGATTTGGGAACTATGAACACTCAAGCGGAAACGATATTAAAAAATTGGCGTTCTCGAAAACCGCTTTTTTTTTTCTATATGCATCAAATGAGTTCATGTATTCATCAAAAATGACTATAGACAAAATTCACCAAATCAAGGGTATGGCTATGGTATGGATGTGGATGTGGGTGTGGATTGTCTCTTAAACAACACATACTCCCACACCCACACCACGTCCTCACAACCACACTCAGACCCCACACCTACACCTCACACCCATCCACACCCTTAAGAATGTAACAGACTAGACAGTAATGATTGAGATACTTACGTAGACGTGCGAGAAATATGAATAATGACGGGCTATTAAAAGTGTTAATATATCGAGGAAAAAAAGCTATATGGCACGTTTTCATACTTCGACTTTTTCTTTAATGGTATTGATTGCTTGATTAACAGTGAAAGTCTTTACAGGTATTTATAATATTCTCAGTTATTTTTGACGAAATAGATCACGACATATGTGAATGCTAATGGTAGAAGCTCTGTTCGAAAAAAAAACAATTTTTTTACACATCTTCTAATTTTTGAATAATCTTGGAAATCAAATTCCTATAATCTTTTCTTTTGTATAAAGATGAAGCATTGAACAAGATTAAATTTTCATAATTATCTTTTCTTTTGAATAATCGATTTATTTTATTTTATATTATTGAGATAAAGTTTAAAAAGATCCTTTTAGATGCTTTATTTGATAGTATTTCTCTTTCATTCTACTCGTATGGATTATACAGAAAAATATCAATCAATTGAGATAATAGTTAATGAAACAACAAGAATTGATTCATTTGTAAGTCAATTTAACATTCTAAATTTTTCATACTTTCATTGATTAAAATAGCAAAAGCCTAATGTAATCATAATTGAACGAGCACGAAGTCGTAATCAAGAAGAAGTTCTATTAAAAAGACCATTACTTCTTTATTTATATTTTGAATCAACTGAAATATATTCACTCGAATATCTAAAGGTATTGTTACTCATAATTTTTTATAATTCACTATTCTATGTTATAGATTATCAATAATAAACTATTCTCAATTTCATTTTCACAGTTGCAAACAGATAATAATTGTAAAAAAATTTAAAACAATCTAATTTTTGTGATTATGATAGTTTTGATATAGATACAGCAAAACCTATCAAAGTTTCATTTTTTTATTTATGAAACTTATCTCGACAAGACAGTTTTTTTTCTTCTAGGAATCCTCTTGTAAAGATTGTCGTAATCAAACTTGTCAGACAACTATACATTGTATACGAATGGATGATTACTGGTAAGATGCCAGTAATTCGAAAATTAAGTAAAAGCTTTTTTCCTTATGGTTGGATGAAGTATGTAATTTGTTTCGCGACAAAAGCATCAGAAAAGTCTATACAATTTGGAATAAATTCCTTCTTCCTACAACATAGAAGCCCATTCGATCCGAACGAGCGTTAAATAGTAATATAAATTATCCAATAGATTAACTTACCGCTGCTCATAGTGTGATGGTAATGTCTTTTTTGTTAGTCAAAAAATATGTACGCATGAAAATTAATGATAGACACCTGTTCAAAATAACTGAAAAATAAACATGTTTTTGTACGATTCTCTTATTGAATTATAGACAAAGTCTAGAAATGAAATAATTGGAATATGAACAAATCTTTAACTAAAAAATGAAATATGTCACGAAACTAAACAATATGGTCGGTTGAAATTCAATGAGATTTTATTGAGTTCAAAAACCAATTTCATTACGAGATGATTATACGATATTCATTATTAAAACACGCATAAGATCTAAACTACCTGTATCATATAAATGAAGGGTCTCTTATTTGGTAGTAAAGGAGTCAAAGTATTTTTTCTCCACTTCTCCAAAAAAAATACATACGCATCCAAATGAAATGAATATAATATATATAGAATTAATAGAAAAACCTACTTTAAATCGGAACCGATACGTATGGGGTGTTGCTATCATATCGAACAAAAAAATCAATTTTTCCAACCTTGAAACAATATTTTCTTAACTCTACGACGAGTAAAGGTAAAGAATAAATATTGAGCTTAACGAGACTTGATGCTTTTAATATATTTTAATTCATATAACCCAGGTCGAAGAATCCCAGGCTCAGATTCTGTCGGATCCCATAGGAAACCCCAAATAATCCCATACTTTCCCACAGGGATCCGACAACTTCCGATAAGATCTTGTCGGAAATTGTCGGAATCCTTGGTACAGGATTCCGATAGGAAGTTGTCGGATGCTGGATCCGACAATTTCCGACAGTCGGATCCGATAGTTGGAAAATGTCGGATACAATCGGAAGCCGATGGAAACCTGCTGAATTTATATCTAAACATTAAATATTGTTTGCCCCCTCCCCTCCCTTCACTTTCTTCTTTATCTACTATTAGTTGCAAATTAACAGCTTAAATCTAGTTTATTTTAACTTTTTATTAAATAAAAAAAATTACAATCAAATAAAATAAATCACAATACAATAAAAGAATTTACAATATAACAAAGAAATTTACAATACTATAAAAAATGAAAAAAAAAATACAAATAAATTACCATAAAATAAAAGAATTTACAATAAAATAAAATAACTTACAATACAACAAAAATAATTCACAATACTATAAAGAATGAAAAAAATAAAATAATCACAACAAAATAAAATAAATTGCAATACAATAAAATAATTTACAATATAACAAAAAATTTTAAATACTATACAACCTAAAAAAAAATAAAATAATTTAGAATAAAGTAAAATAATTTACTATAAAATAAAATTAATTATAATAAAATTAAAATTAAACTTAAATAAATAAAAATAAAATAAATAATTTCCATTCACTGTTGATAGACTTTATGCCGTAATATAATCTAAAACAAAATAGAATAAAATAAAAAAATTATATATAAAATAAACTAAAATAAAGAGCAACAAAAATATAATAAATGAAATAAAGTATCTATAGATACTTTCGTGGCATTGGATTTCATCGGATCCTGTTGTCAAAATCCGACAGAATCCAACGGCGGAAATCGTCGGATCCGATAGAATCTGACAGGGTGAGTTCGACCTGGGAAGTTTTTTCAACGAGCTCTATCAATTATTTCAAAAAAACATTTTCTCGACTTTCGAATTAATTCTAATTTATCTAGGTATAATGTCTATGATATTGATTCTCGTCAATTACATTTTTCTTTATCTGTTCATATTTATCAACTCGAAGATGATTTTACTTGGATTCCATTATTAAAAACAGATCTCAATAGGTTTTCATTTCTAAATAAAACTACTGAACTTGCTGATACTCAAATAACATCTTTGATAACCAAAGAATATTTAATATCGAATATTTTACTTGATAAATATAAATATTTATTAGTTCTTCAACTAAGACTAACAATAAACAATGAAATACAATTAAATGTAATTTTCATACCACACATAAAAAAAGAAAATTGATTTTCTTCTGTAGGAATTTCATGATGAATTAATGGTAATTAATAAATCTGAATTGAATCTTAACAAAAATAATATATGTAAGAAAATACTTAATAATCAAAAATGTTCAGTTTAATATTCAAAAAAAGTCAATCATTTGATTTTTGACTTATTGATAAAGTAATTACAGAGCACACAGATAATTAATCAATAGTTTTATTAATTTTTTTTAGTCAAATGATATGCACAAACAACCTTTTCGTTATGTTTTACATCCTCATCTCGAATTACCAATTCATGAATGTAATCATAAATTTCAATTTCTTATACCATATAAACATGGTGTGGGTGTGTGGGGTGTGGGTTTTGGTGGATGTTGGTGCGGGTGTCGGTGTGGGTGTGGGCATTCGAAAAGACAAAAACACACTCACACCCCAATTTTTCGTATGATCTTGTATAATCATGTGAGATAATAATATAAGATCGGATATGAATGTGCAAGAATCTGAAGCTGACATTACAATGGAGGTATGTGTATTGATAAGTGAAAAGATGGCACATATTCGGGTCCAATGAAAGCTCTCGTTGCCAAACTAACAAGGTTAAAATATTAGCGACCCTTGGCTTGCCTAGATAGACCACCAAGCGATGCATCAATGCACTTTAGGATCAAATATTATATATGTACAAGTCATTTTTTAAATATATTATATATATATTTTTCATTTATATGCTACTCAAGTTCCAGAAGACACCGAAACTAATGTGATCTTAATGCTATTGATAAATTTCAGGAAGATTCTTGTAGCCTACTATTGAAATATCCAGCTGATTGTATAAAAAAGTAATGTAAATAATCATAATGTTCCTATATACCGAAATTGTGAGTACCGTAATAATCGAATATCTCTCTCTAGGCAAGCCAAGGGTCGCTAATATTTTAACCTTGTTAGTTTGGCAACGAGAGCTTTCATTGGACCCGAATATGTGCCATCTTTTCACTTATCAACACACATACCTTCATTGTTAATGTCTGATTTGTTGACCTGGGTCCTTTCTTTCTCTCTCTCTCTGCCTTCTTCCCCATATATTATTGATGTCGCTAGCCATTGTTCTTATTATGTTGTATTTTCGTTAATTTATCTCTATTCTCTCTTGTTCTTTGTCTCACTCTCTTGTTCTTTGTCTCACTCTCTTGTTTCTTTCCCCGCATATTTTTGATGTCGATAGCCATTGTTCTTATTGTGTTGTATTTTCGTTAATTTATCTCTATTCTCTCTCGCTCTTTGTCTCACTCTCTTGCCACTTTCCACATATATATTTGATGTCGTTAGCCATTTTTCTTATTGTGTTGTATTTTCGTTAATTTATCTCTATTCTCTCTCGTCTTTCTCTCTCTTCTCTCTACTATTATGTATTCATTTTTTGTTTTTTTTCTTTTTCTTTCACATTGCCAACATTAATATAGAGACGATAAAAATATATCTGAACCTATTGCGCTTTTCTTCTATCTCTCTGCTTATGTCTTTTTTATCATCGTACTTTATTCGTCTGTCTCGCATTTTGTTTTTATCTTATGAACATATGCGTAGATCTGAATCGACAGTATCAATCTAATTTTTTCCAACCATAGAAGGACGGGCACCGTCGAACCATATCAAATATTATAGGTCAGACAAAAAAAACAAAATTATTTTCAAAAAATCCCTCTAGATCTTGATATTACATCATGCAGTTTATTGAATCTGTGTCGGATTTGAGGAAGTTTACCATATGACAGTATTTGATGTTTAATAATGACTGTTGTATATACATATATTTATTTATGCGTTCATTTTCTAAACGTATAGATGTTGAACCGAACCTTTTCTGATTCTGAGCCCTAATGGAAAATTGAAGCCTTATTTTGATTCGATGCAGAACTTTTTATTATTCTGTAGAACGCTCTGCATAGAGTTGAAAGAAGACTCTGATTTTTTATCAGAGGCTAAAATTTTTGAACTTTTGAAGAGCATGTATATATGTGTGTCAACCGATAAGTCTCTCTTTTTAGACATATTATCAACATGTTGTTATTCTATTTTTTTCTCGTCTGTCTTTGTCAATCATTGTTCGCTGTTGAATTGTTTATCTACAAAGGTTTTACTGAAGTTCGTCAAGTTTGCAATGGAGTCGGTGAATACACTTATCAATTTACAAATGCTGATTATGGAAATGTAATTGAAGGATCATTCAGTTGGGAAGGTACACCATTGGTTCGACAAGAAATTTACAATACAATTCAATCACTTCAAAATGCCAAAGTAACAGTACGACGATTCACAGTGTGTGCATGTGAAACTATTAATGCAAAAATTGTCGATCCCAATTCGATGTTACTCCAAAATTTGCAAACAGGAACATATTTTTATGCTGATAAAGGTTCAATCGAATATATATCGGTCCAGTCAACAGAGAATAAAATAACATTATCGCTTCAATTTAAAACTGCAAAAACAGAACGTAACGGAATATTATCATATTTAGTGAGAGGAATCACCTGGACAGCTAGTTATGACCTGTTGTTGACGGGTGCCAATGGTAAATCGACTTCTTTTTCTTTTTAATTTAAATTTTCTTCTATGGAATACGTCATTCTATTCTAGATTACGAACTTCATGCCTATGCAAATATCAAGAATGATCAACAACGAGAATATACCGTGGACATGACTCATCTGTTAGGTGGGGATGTGCAATTAGCTACCAATTCTCCGGCTCCTTCTCCTGGATTGGATGCTGATAAGTCTTCTATGAACGGGAAACCAATTCAAGCTGGTGGTGAACAAAAAGGTGTGTATTCGTATATCTTGAAAGACAAATATACACTTCATCCATTAAGTTCCATTCGTGTACCATTTATTGATATTGCTGTTAAATATCAATTCTATTACAAAGCATGGACAAGCATCTACACAGGAATGTATCAAGGTATCTTTGCAAGAACTTACGAAATAACACCTGATCATTTCATGCCCGCTGGTATTATTACTATTCGTGACAATCAAGTACTTGTTGGTCAAGCGATGTTGCCAGATATTCCAGGAAATTACACGCAAACATTTACCGTTGGTCAAGATAATGATGTTCGCTATTTCATCAAAGGTAATTTAACATCAAAGACTGATAACACGGCACCAGTACCATTGGAGACTTATGAAATCGATGTTGAAGTTAAGAACTTTAAGGACAAACATGTCGATGCTCAGCTTGTGTTCCAAGGCGGTATTCAAATAATGCTTCTTGATACAACATGCAAGGCTGTTCGTGTCCAAGGAAACCAACTCTACTTGCCAGTCCAACTCGAACAAGGCGAAAATCATCAGTGCAAGTTTTCTGTAACAGTGAGATTGTATTAAATATATCGGTGGCCAGGCTCAACAAAAAAATGACAATATTTAAAACATTCTTTTAATTTGGCAAATCAACATGTATTTTTCAAGTGATTTAATTTTTATTTATTTTATTTGCTTTGTTTTCCTTTTCTTGTATTTAGTTTATTTAAAGAGAAAAAAGAAAGAGAAGATAGAAATAAAAAAATATACAAAGAAAGAACAGTACAAGAAAGTAAATAAGTAAATAAATAAATAGATGGGGAAAAGGGTAACTTTAATTTAACGCTAGGCCTTTCGAATTTTCCTTTTATTCATTTTCAAGCGAATGTTTATTTTTTATTTTCATCGTTGAGTGATCTACTTTTTTGAGTGAGTATTTGTTTTTTATTCTTAGTAATCTATTGTTCTACATATCCCTCTATTTTTGGTCAGTGGTATTCCAAATTCTTCGGTTCTTTCCTTTTCGGCTGGTTTTTTTTCTTTTTATTCCTAGTCATAGACTATTCTTTTCTTCTTATCCCAGGTCGAAATCACCCTGTCGGATCCTATCGGATCCGAAACTATCCGACAGTTTCCGACTGTCGGAAACCATCGTTATCCATTAGTTTCCGACGATTTCGGATGTCGGATTCCGACAATAGGATCCGACGACATCCGACAATAGGATCCGATGATATCCGGCAATGGGAATTTGTCGGATCCGACGAAATCCGTTGGTATAAAGCTATCTATAAATAGTTTATTTTATTTATTATATTTTTATTTTTTCTTATTTTATTTTATTTTATTTAAATTAAATTAAATTAATTTTTATATTATTTTATTTTATTTTATTTAAATTAAATTTTATTTTATTTTATTTAAATTAAATTTTATTTTATTTTATTTTATTTTTATTGTACTTTATTTTTAATCGGCTCTTCTTTACTTGAATCACAGCGCTCTCACCCACATGCTGTACCGTTTGTATAAATTACACCAACCGGTGTATAGATGTGATGAATAAAGGAGTGTATTTCTATTTTAGTTTTTTATTTTAGTTCATTTTGTTTCGGCTTATGTTACGGCATCAATTTTATGAGCAGTAAGTAGAAATTATTTATTTATTTTAATTTTTTTGTTTTATTTAGTTTTAATTTTTTTCTATTTTAGTGTAATTTTCTTTGTTTTATTTATTTTTATTTTTTGCTATTTTATTGTAATTTTTTTTATTCTATTTATTTTATTTTATTCTTTGCTATTTTATTGCAATTTTTTTCTTATATTTATTTAGTTTTAATTTTTTTGTTTAATTTTTATTTTTTGGTATTTTATTGTAATTTTTTTATTTCATTTTATTTTGCATTAAATAAAAATTTAAAATAAACTAGATTAAAACTATTAATATGCAGTTCCATGTAGTGGAGGGAGGAAGTAGGAGAGGGGGATCGAATGATATCTAACGTTCAGATGTACATTCAACAGGTTTCCATGGGATTCCGAGAGTATCCAACATTTCCCAACTATCGGATCCGACTGTCGGAAATCGTTGGATCCGACATCCGACAACTTCCGATCGGATTACCGTAACAAGGAATCCGACAACTTCCGATAGGATCCTGTCGGAAGTTGTCGGATTGTCTAGAGATTCCGATCGGATCCGACTGTCGGATTCTTCGCCCTGGGATCCTTTTTTTAGTTCGTTTTAGCTTTTAAATGACTATTTCTTTTGTTTCTCTCCAATGAATGCTCTATACTTTTGTCTTATCTTTTTCTTAGCTAAGTGAGTTTTCGTCATATTCTTATTCCTATTCATTGATTATTTTATATATCTGCTTTTCGGTTTCATCTTCATTGGTTTTTACTCTATATATCTTTTTTGTTTCTAGTCATTAACAATTCAGCTTCTGTCTTTTTAGTTATCGATTATTCAATTTTATCTTTTTTCTAGTCATTAGTTCTTCTTTATTTCTCTTTTTACTTTCATTTTCATACGATTTCATACGTTCATTTCTTTCGCTTCTAGTTGTTGACTCTTCAACATTTGCCATCTTTTTACTGTTATTTTTTAACCTACGATTGCTTTCTGTTTTCCTAGGTGCCGATTATTCTACACTTTTTGTCTTTATATTGTTATCTATATGCGGTTATTTGTTTTATTTTATTTCTACTCCTTCTACTATTAGAACTCATTGCCTTATGTTGTCTTGTCTACTGTTCGCCCCAAAAGTATTGTACCACTTTTTTGTTTTGGCTCGCGTTTCAAAACTATACGACATGGATTCAATTGTCTTTTTTTCTTCAGATAGTACAGCTCGAGTACTATATGTATACACATGTTTGAAATGGAGGATTTTTGAATATGAAGTACAGAAACAAAAAACAAACTTCAATACTAAGTGAAAAATTGTNGAACATCCTTGTATACTATTGTTATAAATGATAGGGACGACACACATTTACACGCTAAATAGAAATAGAACGACGTTATTTTAAGCTACGGTATGTTTGCTTGCAAAAAATTTGTGCTATCATTTGGATTTCAAATGAAGTTCTTCTTTGAGAGAAAGGATGGCAATCAATAGGAGAAAAGGATTAGTACCAGAAATACATAATGATTGTTTAAATTTAATTTCTCCACTCAGTTTTGTCTATGGCAAAATAAATTCCTATCCTCTTTCAACAAAGATCAAAGCTGAAACTCAAACGCTTGAAGCAACCTTTCCGGAAAGATTGAGTGTTTGTACTCCAAATTCTTCCGTCATATCTCCAGAAAAAAAATAACAATCCCTGATAGAATCCTTAAAAGATCTATAGAATAGTTGAAACGAAAACTCAAGATTTTCACTATGCAACTGACATTTACTTTTATGGAGTTCTTTTAGAAGCTGCTGAGCATTTTTTCGAATTTATATCTTAAGTGAGCTAAAAGATTTCTTTGATATATACGTTCACAGTAGTTGGGATCATAAGATTAATAAATTGATTTTGTAATCCATTTTTTAGAATGGCTCACACGAATGAGAAGATTTTTACTTACGACTACGTGGTCATTGGTGGGGGTACAAGTGGTGCGGTTGCAGCGCGACGTTTGGCAGAAGGAGATACAAACTCTAGTGTGTATCTTCTCGAGGCTGGTCCGAGGCTTGTTCACGTGTATACTAATTTTGTAATCTAGAACGAATAATCTTTTGTGACAGTTATGAAGAAGTCGCCAATAGTCGTATACTGGGTAATTGGGTTTCAAATAAGGAAAAGTCGCATGACTGGAACTATGATATTATTGCTCAGAAAGGTTACAACAATCGTATTATAAACGCTCCACGTGCTCGTTTTCTTGGTGGAGGTTCTAGTGGACCACTGCATACCGAGCCGTATCCTCCTGCGCTCGTCTCTGGCAAAATTTTTGAATCATTTATTGATAGTGGCTTCGAGTACAAACCAGATATGTTTGTTCAGGGAGACTATGAAGGTTTCTAACGTTCATTTTTTTCTTTGAAACTCATCTAAGAATTGTTTAGGTGTCGGATATCCTGTACGCACAGCTTCCAAGGGTATTCGAAGTGTAAGTGCAGATTTTCTTCATCAATACGAGAAAACAAACCTTAGAGTTCGAACAGGTGTCTATGTCGACCGGATCATTCTGGAAAATAACAATATAAACAACAAAGAAAAACTTGATTACAAAGCAGTCGGTGTGGAAGCGCATTACGATGCAAATAGTCAACCGATATTTATGAAAGCAAGAAAAGAAATTATCCTAAGTGCTGGGTATGCTGTATAGACATGCGACTCGATTCCGATTCGAGGTCAATTTCGTACATTACAAAGAAAATTGTTAGCATTGTGAGATTAGCAATCTTTTCCGAGGAGGTATTCAGCATAAAAATGAATCAGTTTCAAGGACTCTTTCAGTAAAAGCGATAAACAGTGATGCTCTCAGTCTTTTGACTCCTTTATAAAAAGCGAGTAATATTCACGAACAATCAGACAATCAAATCCTGTTCGTGTTGCGAGACCACTTTTATTTAGTGCTTATAATTCTCCGATGATCTTAATACATTCCGGTATTGGATCAGCAGAACATCTAGTCGAAATGGGCATTGGTTGTAAAGTCGATTTGCAAGGTGTAGGAAGCAATCTTCAAGATCATGTGATGGTATAGAATTTCTCAGTTTAACTATGCAATACTTCATGTTATCATTAAGGTCTATACATCTTATCAAGTAAATGATTCAAATATCACGCTTGACCGATTCATCTACTATCACCCAGACACTCTTGCATTATCAATCAAAGAATGACAGGAATCCTGTGTGGGAAGCTGCAAAGTTCAAGAAGCAAAAGGTTCAGCCATTAGAGTACGATCCGACTGGACAATAGTCAAATCAACCTCATATCGAGCTGTGGACTAAAGAATTGTACGTTTATATTCCCAGCTTTCCACAACCAGGTCAGTAAAACACAATATAAAAGAAAACTTTTAAAAGAATAGTATTCTGAGGCAATCTCTAGAAAAGTCTTGTTCAATGTTGACTAGATAGAAAGATCAAGCTCAAAATAAATGCACTTCAGACAAATCACAATAAAGTGATCACTAGAAATCCACAAGATATATAAAATAAAACGCCAAGATTAATAATGATTCGGGAAGAATTATCCATTTCCACTCTCTGTTACTTTAATCAGATGAAAAATGATGGACATTGGCCAGATCCTCCTATTTCGGACAAAGTACAGCAGAATGAATAACAAGCTTCATTACATTGTACAATAAATGTTCTCCTACCTACGTAGTCCAATATAGAACAATTACTATGAATTTAGTTTTATTACATCGTTAACGACAATTAAGTGATAGTTCTCGGCCAGTACTGTAATCACAATTGGACATATATCTAAAAAGTTGATAATTCATAGTACTTCATCCGAAAGGAGATTAAATTTCACAATGGCATTCATTTCGGGAATGTAGGGACTGAAAAAGTCGATTCTGTAGTTTTTCGTATTTAGCAAAACGTCACTTATCTTCAGACGGTTTGAGT